ATATATATATATATATTGAATAATTTTTAAAATGTAATTTACTGATTAAAATGTAGTATTATTAATGAACTTCTCAGTTACATTTTGTAAAATTAACTTTGGTTCTAAATTTAATTAAAATAATCATTATATTAAAATTTAATTATTAATTTACAATTAAATTCTCAAGTTAATTATGAAAACGATAATTAAGATGGTGTGTTGTTACATTGCCCAATTTGACAATAATAGTATATACAATTAATCTGTTATTACCTTCTATTTAATTATTTTTATAAGTTTATGCTAAGCATAGTCAATTGTATCACTATTTGAAGCCGTATATATTACTTATTGTTGACAAATCTAGAACTATTTTGCTTTTTTTGTTTGTTAAAAAGTCATCATGAAAACGAATGCTAATAGCATTGTGCTTTCGCTTTCTTTGTGCGATATACGAGACGCAATAAATATGTTACCATTTCACTCACATCTTTTATCCTTAGAAATCTTTTCGACAAGTGCAACTCAAACTAAAAACATAGTACATGTTTTTGATTCTAGGGTACAACACGGTAAAGAAAATAAACTTCGTGATCTATTAATTATTATTTCCATGTGGTATAAAGAAAATTAAATGAATTAAAAATAGATGAAATTGGAGGGACAAAATAAAGTACATGTAATAAATTGAGATAACCGAAAATGAAGCTACTGCCACCGCACGAATTACGTTTGACAATAAATACAAAATTAAAAGGGACCCGATTTGATTTTCCTTACACAAAATAAAATATCGTCCTTTGAAACAAAACTATTTACCACGTCATCATCATTGCATGATTCAATTATTTTTTGTTATTTATTTGTCTCTCCCCTACCTTATTTATTAGATTTAACATCATATTTTTTCCATAATCATGTATTTATTTTAAAAGCAAGACTATAGTGTGAATATCGCGATCTACGAAATTTTATGCGATGCGGTCCACATCCACTAATCAAAATAATGAGTATTTAATATGTGTTTTCACATTAAAACTAGTATGATATTTGGTTTGAAAAGTTGTGGTCGTAAAAAGAAGGGATGTGTTTTCCATTATTCTGATCAAATTTTTAAAATTAATAACATACATTTGAAATAGATTATGACATATGAACACAAAACTTTAGATATTTTGATTCGAACATTGAAAAAAGTATTAAAAAGTAATTTAAAAAAAAACATTGAAAAAAGTAAAATACATAGATATAAATTCAATAAACCAAGCATCACTACTTTATGATA